AAAAAAAAAAAAAAAGAAAAGTTAAAACTGAGCAGGGTCTTTTCAGCCTATGTTCAAACAAATATAGCTCTATTATAAAACCATGAAAACAGCCAGAGTTTTGCCTATGTAGCCTGCTGTCAGACAAACCAAAGATGGGAAAACAGAAATACAGAATGGACAGACAGCCTGTGAGCCAAACCAAAAGGAAAAACTGAGGATCTCAAACACTGCATTCACCTCTACTAATAGAATGATTTTCTAAACAAAGAAAAATATTACAAAATGAAAATTCTCACCCATATGCTAACAACAATAATGAGTCCTTTTAATTAATCATCAAAATCCATCACCTAAGGTTTAGGTGAACATGCAAAGATACAACGCCTGAAAAATGTCAAGACTAAAGATTCAAACTCCCTCTATTTAACCTCATTCCCCCTTCCTCTTGCCCCTCAAAATGGGTCAGATTCCAAGTCAGTTATTTATAAAATGTCACCTCTAACTAGGGTGCCCGTATAATTTCTCATCTAACCAGAATACTTCTGGAAATGAAAGAAGTCACCATTAATAAGTACACAAGAGCAGCGGGAAGTAAATTCAGACTGTCCCAAGCAAATTGGGAGGTACAATCGTCCTCCATTAACCCGACATAAAACAACTTAATTTCTTCACTTAACAGTGTTCCTATTCCTATTTCATTCTTGAACACTGCCCTGCTTCCATCATTTTCTTTTAAATCTTTTCCTATTTCCTATCTATTCCTGTCTGTGTATTTTCCATCTTTTCATAATTCCTAGGTCTCGAGCAGGTGTACCTCAAGCCAGTGGGGGTCAAGGGCTAAGACTCTTTATCGTGGTTTTCAGCCACATAAAGACTACTATCGATTTTGACATATCTCGTAAGTATGATCTCAAAAATTCCGCAAGCCGGTCCCATCTCTTACCTAATCTACTACATAACTTTTAAGAAATTCACAGACTGCTTGAAATACTTAAGAGACGCACATACACAGACCAAGTCTCTTTCAAATCAAATAATTACACACTCCTCATATACACCTGTGAAACTCTGAAATTATTATTTCTTTTTTAACTGCTGCCCTCTACTAAACTTCCTACTTGGGAGTAAAAGCACATGAAGTGTCCAAACCATTGAGGTCTTTTATCTCCTATCTGATCTCTGTACCAGAAAATTACAGTTCCTACAGCAGATGGCATCGAAGACAAAACATGTGCAGCTATGTATCTTAAGTGTGATCTCTGAACCACCTGCATTAAAATCATCTGAGATTTTTGGGACCTCCAACGACCTAATGAATCTTAATCTCTATAGAAATTCTGTGTTCAACAAGCATACTACCAACCCTGGATGAGCCCTACTCTGTGCTTGAACCTTAATAACCACAGAGCATAATCGTTCTGTGTTCAATTAAAACTACAGGTATTTTTCGGAAAAAATGCTGTGAAGCCAAGTTATTCTCCATCCTGAATTCAGTTAATTTCCTGAACCAAATGCATTTACCCATGTTAAACAGAATTCTTTTAGTCGCCGCCTGATTCGGTCTTTTTGAAACTTGGTTCTGTTAATGAGATGATCTTTTCGTCTTTGTTTTAAGTCATTCACAGATAATGAGCAGAGCAGTCCCTTCTTATCTGCAGAGGATGCATTCCACGGCCCGCAGTGGATGCCTGAAACCATGAGTAGTACCGTACCCTACAGATACTACGTTTTTTTCTTCACATACATACCTATGATGAAGTTTACTTTATAAATTAGGCACTAGTAAGAGGTTAACAACAAAAACTAATAATAAAAGAGTAATTATAACAATATACTACAATAAAAGTTATGTGAATGTGGTCTCTCTCTAAGAATAACTTTTTGTATGTACTTACCATCCTTGTGATAATGTGAGATGATAAAATGCCTACATGATGAGATGGAGTGAGGGGAATGACACAGCCACAGTGACACAGTGTTAGGCAACAAGTGACCTTCTGACAACATGTCAGAAGGAGGGTCATCTGCTTCTGGACCTTAACTGACCATGGGCAACTGAAACTACAGAAAGCAAAACCGCAGATGGGGGCGGGCGGTGCGGGGTACATTACTTATCCTCTATCACTAATAAAATGCTAAAGAGGACAGAACCAAGGACAGAGCCATCCAACCAGACAACATTCTGCACAGAGCTGTTCAACTGGCTACAGGCCCCTTAATGCCACACGCCATGAACCCTAGTTCGCCCATTTTAACAGCAGGATTTCCTAAGCAGCAACGTCAACCCTTACTGAAATTCTAGAAGCCTGTGTTTCTCCAAGATGAGAGAAGAATTTAAGTGTTAACATTCTATTCCTGGGAGAGTTATGGAAAGGGCCACATGATGTTTGTGATATTACCCTTACTTCCCACTACCAGTTTTAAAGACTGTCTTTTCGGACCCAGATTTTAAGATGTTTTAGTGGTTTACACAGCATTTTAAGAAACTATGACAAAATAGATGTTTTATGAAAATATTAATACTTACTGGTTAATCCAAACATCAGACAAAATGCTCTGAGATGATGTCTTCTAACAGGTGAAAAGCCATTTCCTTCCCTTCATCCCCTCCTCCCACCGTCTTCTCACTTCCTCCTCTTGGTAAGTCAATTCCAAGGGTTCTGTTCCACTGAAGCCTCACAGGGTCCTTTCCACAGCCCGAAACTAAGAAGCCTTTCCTCTCCCTAGACTCAGCCCTGGATGGCACTGATTATTTCCAATTATCAATTAATGTGGATAAAAATTTATGGCATTTTATAGTTTAGTCAGGAATGCCTTTAGAGAGTAAAGAATGTAAGAAACAAGTGTATCAGAATAAAATATGCCAAAGGCTATTATAAACAAAATAAACTAAGACCAGTTATATATGAGGTAAGTGCTTCCTGCTGTACAAAACCATATTTTTATAAGGAGTTTATGTATTTTCAGTCATTCAAGTATAAATGCTCCAGGTCATTTTGTTCCTGAATAGCAGGGTAAGTGAGGAATCCTTCCCAAAAAAGATATTACTTTCACTAATAACAAGAAAATTACAGGGTCATTAAGATACCTTTTACAGAGATGAACCATGAGAGACTACGGACTCTGAGAAACAAACTGAGGGTTCCAGAGGGGAGGGGGG